TGGGGGTGGGGGGGGGCTGGGGGACACAGCCGCCGGGCTCCCCGAATCCCCAGCCTTCTCTTGGACACGGATTCAGTGAAGATGTGTCCAGAGAGGAGGGCAGGGCCTGGCCTGGGCGTCACAAGCCTCGGTTCCGGCGGCTCTTCCTCATCCTGGCTGTGTGACTTCGGCCGACCCCCGGCCCTCTCTGGTCCTGCGGCTTCTTAGCACAGAGGGCTGGACTTCATGCTGCCAAGGCGGCTGCCTCGAGACACAGCAGCCGGGCAGGCCCTTCTCGGCCCCAGGCCTCAGTGTCTCCCTCTGACGACTGGGGTGGCCTTTCTCAGGGGAGGTGACGTGGAGCCGGAACCTGCTCACCTGGCTCCCCAGAGGCAGGGCCGGGCCCTCTGCCGGCCGGGGACAGGGGACAGGAGCTGCGGGGCCACTAGGCCCAGCCCCCTCAGCTAAGACTGCACCCTCTGCCCTCAGTTTCCCTGCCCCTCAGAGCCCTCCGCCTGTGAGCTGGGACTCGCAAGACTGCGGACAGACAGACAGACGACAGCCCCGCAGCCCAGGCCTCCCTCGGGCTGGGATGCCGGGAGGACTCACCCGGCGGCTTCCTCCACGTGAGAAAACGAGGGTCACGGAGCTCCAGTGGTGGCCCCGGCTTCACCCAGAAGCCAGTTCCGGGCTCCCCAGGTCAGAGGGGCTGCAGGGCCCGGGAGGCCTCCGCTGGGGGCTGGGGCTGGGGCTGGGCAGGGGCCGAGGTTAGGTCTGCAGGCTGCTCCCTCCCCCGCGCGGAGGCCTGATGCTCCTGATGCCACCGCAGTCCCACCGGAAAGCTCTGCCCGGGTCCGACCCAGCCCCACCTCCCGATGCCTCGCAGGCAACTCGAGTTTAATATTTCGACTTCCTCTCCTCTCCCTCCCACTGAGCAAACCCCGCCAGTTCCTCCCCAGGTTTCTAGTCTCCACATGGCAGCACCGGCCACCAGCCACCGAGGCTACAGGGGGAAGTCGGCTTCCCCTGAGGCCCCCGCCCCACCGGCCAGGCCCCCTCCCTCTCGCCTGGACCACACAGAGCCTCCCGCTGACCCCCATCCTGGCGGCCGGCTTCTCCCAACTCCAACCGCCCCTGGCTCTCTCCACAAGCAACCAGAGGCCCCGCTTCACACCCCCACTCACTCACAGCCCATCGATGGTGCCCAATCGCGCTGTCTCAGCACAACGGACACACATCGGGCCGGGACTCGGCTCGGGGGAGGGGAACGTGCCCTGTGGGTTGTAGGATGCTCATCAGCAGCCCAGGGACACCCCCTCCCCCAGTGCCACAACCCACTGACTCCAGACATCGCCAACTACCCTGGTTTAAGGGAGGGGGGGCCAGGGAGGGCCCCTCTGGAGAGTGTGGGTTCCCTTAGGCACCAGCGGGCCCCCCGGGAGCAGAGCCTGGGTCCTCCCAGCAGGTTGTAATTTAGTATTTTTTTAGCTGCCTAGCTCCCAGGCGGCCATTCTCCATGGTCGCGGTTTTAACATCCCAGGGACGGTGATGCCTCTGTGACTTCCGCTGGGGAGGGTGGCAGCAGGGCCAGGTGAGCGTGAAGATGTGGCCGCCATCAGGGTCCCCTCGGCGTCCCCTGCCCTCCTCCCCGCAGCCGCCTGTGCCACTGGCCTCCAGCCACTCCTGTCCTGGTTTGGAACTGGGGATGGGGGTTGGGGGTGGGGTGTCGGGGGGCCCACCCCACTCCGTTCCTCACGATCACTCATCCCTAGCTGTGACTGCCCCGTTCCCAGCGGCTCCCGCACATGAAACCCCGGGCCTCAGCCCATCGGGGCCCCAGGCCTGTTCCCACCACACGGCATTCTCCTAGAATCCCAGAGGCCTGTTCCCACCACACGGCATTCTCCTAGAATCCCAGAGGCCTGTTCCCACCACACGGCATTCTCCTAGAATCCCAGAGGCCTGTTCCCACCACACGGCATTCTCCTAGAATCCCAGAGGCCTGTTCCCACCACACGGCATTCTCCTAGAATCCCAGAGGCCTGTTCCCACCACACGGCATTCTCCTAGAATCCCAGAGGCCTGTTCCCACCACACGGCATTCTCCTAGAATCCCAGAGGCCTGTTCCCACCACACGGCATTCTCCTAGAATCCCAGAGGCCTGTTCCCACCACACGGCATTCTCCTAGAATCCCAGAGGCCTGTTCCCACCACACGGCATTCTCCTAGAATCCCAGAGGCCTGTTCCCACCACACGGCATTCTCCTAGAATCCCAGAGGCCTGTTCCCACCACACGGCATTCTCCTAGAATCCCAGAGGCCTGTTCCCACCACACGGCATTCTCCTAGAATCCCAGAGGCCTGTTCCCACCACACGGCATTCTCCTAGAATCCCAGAGGCCTGTTCCCACCACACGGCATTCTCCTAGAATCCCAGAGGCCTGTTCCCACCACACGGCATTCTCCTAGAATCCCAGAGGCCTGTTCCCACCACACGGCATTCTCCTAGAATCCCAGAGGCCTGTTCCCACCACACGGCATTCTCCTAGAATCCCAGAGGCCTGTTCCCACCACACGGCATTCTCCTAGAATCCCAGAGGCCTGTTCCCACCACACGGCATTCTCCTAGAATCCCAGCAGCCTGTTCCCACCACACGGCATTCTCCTAGAATCCCAGCAGCCTGTTCCCACCACACGGCATTCTCCTAGAATCCCAGAGGCCTGTTCCCACCACACGGCATTCTCCTAATGCGCCCCGGCTTCGGAGCCTTGGGGCACACGGGCCCCAGCACACACAGAAGGTGTCGGCTTCCAGCGGTCGCGGGCAGGCAGGTCAACAACACAGCGGGGGTTTGAGTGGCTTTTATTTAATATCCAGAAATCCAAAGTAAACAGTGCTTGAAACGGTTATAAACACAATAAAACACTGGCCCACAGAGGGGAGGAGGAAGGATCCCGTTGCTTTAGAACAGCACAGCTCTTTGTCACATCCAATTGAAACGCGCGGGGCAGGCGCTGGGCTGGCGCTTGCATAATCCCTGTGGTTGTTAAAGGGGAAACGGAGCCTCAGGCAGGGGCCCGAGGCCAGTGGGTGGGTGGGGGGAGGGACAAAGGCGCATCCCCTGGGCCTGGAGAGCCGGCCTGGCGCTCTGCTCACTGGGTTCCTGTGCTGAGAGCCCTCGACGGAGAAACGCAGCTCCCTGGGCATGTGCAACCCCGAAGACGCCCAGCTTCCCTGACCTGAACTCACGCCCGGACAACTACGTCCCCAAGCCAACGAGACAATGATGGGTTGATCACACGAAGGACTCATTCCCCAAGCAGAGCTCACCCTTCTTATTTTGATTGATTTTTAGGGAGAGAGGAAGGGAGAGGGAGAGAAACATCAATGTGAGAACAACACATCCATCAGCTGCCTCCTGCACGCCCCCTACTGGGGACTGAACGCTGATGGGGAATCAAACCTGGGACCTTTGGGTGCACGGGACGATGCCCAAACAACTGAGCCACACGGGCCAGGGCCACCGACTTCTGCCTGGGACGGGCCCCCAGTGCACCCGTCCAGGCCACGCTGTGAGTTTGAACTCACACTGGAAAGTGGAACGAGAAAAACGAAACGGTGCAGCCGAAGGGGCCTTGGCAGGTGTGTGTAAGGCACTCCCACACCTTTGAACCAACTCGGAAAAGTAATTCGGATGAAATATCACACCCTCCCGGGAACCATGGGCTCAGTCAGCGCTGCGAGGCGATCGCCGGGGAGTCCGTTCCCCATCTCACTGTTCCTTTCACTCTCCCACCGGCCTCCACGTGGGCCGAGGAACCCGCAGAGCTGCCCACCGGGCAGGCCGCCCAAGGCTGCCTCCTCCCCGCACGGCCCCAGGGACGGGTGAGCACGCCAGGTGGGTGGGCCTCCCCCCCCAGGGGCTGTAATGAAGGCGGCACTGACTGTCCCAGCTCAGCCACGTGCCAGTACTGCCCTGCCATGCCATGCACCCCGCCGGAGACCACCTAATGCCATCTTACTTACTCCTTTCCCCCCTGGCAGCCACCTCCATCAACAGGCCCTGAGCCCACCCAGCCTGCATGCGGCCGGCCGAGATGGGATGCTGCCCCCTTTCCCAAATCTCCGGCAGCGACAGCCCACTGAACAGCAGCCACGTTCTCCACAGCCTGTGCCCTGCGGAAGGCGAACCTCAAAGAGAAAGGGGGGAGGAGGCTGATTGCAGGGGCCGCCCCGGGGTTCGCACGCACATCATAAACCCCAGCTGGGGCGCTGGGGCCGAGTTTGGGGGCTGAGCCCCAGCACACAGCCACCGGAGCCCCAGCGGAGCCTCCCCATCTCTCCCCTGTGCCACGGTGAGCAAGGGGGTGAGCAGCATCTCCTGCAGGTGCCCAGGGGAGGTGCCAAGACTCGGGGATCGAGAGGAAAGCCTCGCTCCCTCGAGGAGGGGCTGCCGTGGCCCCCAGGACCCACGGGCTGGAGCCCTAACACCCAGGGCCTCGGAAAGGGCAACCTGAGGTGATGCCGGTGAAACTAGGTCACATGGCTGGGGGTGGCCCAGCATGACTAGGGTCCTTATAAGAAGTGACCAGGACACACACACACACACACACAGAGGGACGCACGGGAGGACCGGGGAGGACAGGTGTCTGCAGGCCAAGGAGGGAGGCTCTGAAGGAACCGACGCTGCCCGCCTGGCGCTCGGGCTTCCGGGCCGGGGCTGAGAGAATAAACTCTGTCGTCGGAGCTGCCCAGTCTGCGGCTCTGTCGCGGCCGGAGCGAAGGGATACACCTGCTTTGGATGTTTCTAAACTGCATCCCGCGGCCCCGCTCCCACCGGCCCACCGGCAGCAGAAGCAGAGGCGTCCCCTGGGCAGGTCCCATTCCATGGGCAGTGGGCGGCGGGGCCTCTGGGCCTCAGAAGTTTGTGCAAACACGAGATGATCACAACACGGAGCGGCCACGAAGCAGGAACGTGGGGGGACATTCCTGCCACAGCAAAGGCTTCTGGGACTTGAGTGGAGTTTTTAAAACTGCAAAAAGCTCTTTACTAAGTGCGCTCCCAGGAGGTCCCACCAGGATGGCCGAGCTGCCGGGAGACGCCTGGGACCCCTATTTGTGCCGGCAGATGGAACGCAGGCGCCCCTCCCGGGGCTGAAGGGCCTGGGTTCAGGCATTTTTTCTTTTCATCGTCTGATCCAGGCCGACAGCCGCTGACTCAGCCGGGAGCCCAGAGAAGTGAGGCCTCAGAACCCTGCAGCTCACAGACACGGGCAGGAGGTCGGGCGACAACCCCGGAAGGTGGGGGGAGCAGGGAGAGGATGGGCTGCTGGGGAGCGCAGGGACGTCGCCGCGTCACTCTGCGTTCTTGTACTTGTTGAACAGGTTGTAGAGGACCCGCAGGGTGGACTTGAGGTCCAGGCTCACCACATCTGCAGAGGAAACAGGGAGGAGCGTTAGGGAGACGCACCTGGGGCCTGGGCCTGGGCCTGGGCCTGGGCCTGGCGTGGCTGCAGCGGAGCACCATCCTGGCCGCTCTG